CCCCCCCCCCCCCGCCCCGGTCTCCCATTTCCAAATCAGTCTTTCGAAAACGCAAAATTAAGTTTCCGCCACAGTTACGAAAACTCCCTGCTTCCAACAGACCTGTACAAGCCGTGATGTATTCCTCTCCTCCATATTGCGCCATCACCCCACATCCGTAGCACGCAGCCTGCAAAACAGAATCGTTTTACATCATATGGCACAGCCGTGACATACAGTAGCAGAATGGCTGAAAATTTATCACGCGATATGAAATGGCCAGAATTAAACAAACCTGTCTAACATCAGCATTTCTGTCTAACACATAATTCATCATCGGTCGCAGAAAATAGTCCTGGTACTTAAATGATGCCTGGAATACAAAACAAAGATTTCTCAAAATCTGCCATGACACCAATCAATTCTTGACTGAGCGAGAGGAGAAAAAAAACCCAACAGATTTCTTGGATGGTTTCGCTGATCCTCCTAATTCCTATCTTCCAATATTGCAGAGGTAACAAATCCACTTGAGGCATTAAAAACGTTTGTCTCGGCGTTAAGGGGGACTACAGCATAAGAAACAAGCAAGCCTGTATAAATAATCACAAAAATAAAGCTGAACATGTCCCACGACATTGCTGTTTAGTGCGACCAAAGTGATGACTTCGTTGTTCTTCCAACTTCCGACTTCGGTGTTCTTCCAAAAACAAAACGATTCTCTACAGCCTCGAGTTAACCTAAGTCTATAAATGACATTATCTTGACCCCTGTTCTCGGACAGCATGGAATCCGCAAATAACGGCCACATAAACACGGCTGATACTTACAGACCCAGTGTGTTCTATGACATCATCAAAGACACACAAAGACCACTGTTTGTCTTGAGCGGATCCGCCGGGAGCCTGGAACGAATTAATTAGAATTCACCAGTAAGGGTTAATCAAATGAATGCTACATACAAAACCAAACACTAAAGAGTCACTGGCTCTTGGAAGCGACACCCGCCAATGTACAACGATTTGATTGGATTGCAAACTAAACGGTGGGAAAACAGTTTGTAAACAGATGAAGTCAACGCTTCGTGCAGTTCTCTACCAACAAACGTAAAACTTCGACGTCACTTATGGTTTTCGACTCAGCGGCAGTTAAGTTTAGGCGAAAACGACGCCAAGAGCTGCGCACGCGCAGTGCGTTTGACTGCTGACCGATGAACTTGGAAAGAACGTAACAAAACACGTGAGTTCAGGTGCCGAGTAGTAATGTTAGAACATTAATGATAACTACATGAGATTCCACTTACCAGTATTAACGAGTGAAAATCGGGAAGAAGCTGCTCGAAGAAAGGCAAAGCTGCTTCTTTATGGGTGCCGAACAACGCGTGCATAATATCGGAAACCTGTCAAAACATCACAGAATGGTTAATAAAACCAAACCATTAATTTAGTTGCACGGCTGAAATTCAGTTCATGTCCTCACCTTGCTTAAGATGTGCACATCCGTCTCGTGCTGAAATAAAGATAAAAAAATTGTTACTTAAGACAAACATTCGATTCTCTGAAAAAAAAAACCGTACGTAATATAATACAAGCCAAGTGCAACTGTACCTCGTCTTGCAAGTCTTCTTCTACTTCTTCGTCGTAATCTTCTTCTTTTCTTCTCTCTGGAAATAATAACGATACACAAACAGCTCAACAAACCACAGAAGCACTAAATCAATAGGTAGAATTATCTGAACGGCTTTCGAGCGAACGACACACCAGAAGAATACGTTGATTGGCTCACAACCTTGAAGATTTGGACCATTCAGTTACCATTAACCTTTAGGAATGACAATTGTAAAAATCCTCTTTGTTTGGAAATGTTTATTGTTGACCAAAGAAAAAAGTCATGAAAACTCCATTAATCCAAAATGCGAAATTTACACAAATGTACCCAGTCACAAGGTTTCTACCAAGAGCACTCCGACACAAACAGAAATGAACTTTTACTCGTTTTGTTACAGTGAGGATACTTCGTGTGGCGTACATGCAGCAACATAACTGACCCGGTGATAAAAAGAAAAATGCGGACTCAGCTTAATGTACTGTACAATTAACAACAGCGATTCCTGCCATCCCATAATACTCACGCTGTCTTTCGACCTGTCTGTTTTTATGAGTGTCTATAATATCATGCAGCATGGTGCCAAGCTCAGTGAAATAATCAGGAGTCATACAGCCCACGCCTAAAGTCTCTATACACCGTGCCAGAGCGTCCATGATCAAAATTTGAACTTCCGGTTCCGGTTCCGCGCTCATGGCTTTCAACACTTCCGGGCACATGAAGGCCCACATCTGCCGAAGGTATCCGTCCCCTTTAATCTTTGCACACTCCAGCAGATACGGCAAAGATTCTGCAGCAGCTGTGCGCACTAGATCGTGGAAGTAGAATTTCAACAGGGGGACCATTAGTTTGACGACTTGTTCTGTGTAAGGAGCGAACCCTTCTTTTAGTTCTCTGGCGTAGCACACAAGCATCTGACATGCAGTGCTCTTGTCTTCCAGGCCAGCGGTCTTGATGCCGAACTTTTGCTGTGGTAAAAAAAAAAAAGGGATGAGAACAGTCACCCAGTTTACACGAATTAACAGCTGGCGTGATTACTTTTGACACTGATACGGGGAAAGGAACATTATAGTAAACAAGCACCTGTCATGACAGTAGTTTAGCAATGAAAGCAACGAATGAGATTGGTGAAAGGTGAATTGATCAACATGACACGAGTGTCCGACAGGAATCGAACCCATGACCTTCCGAACACCAGGAGGGCGCTCTATCCACTGAACTACGAGAACTCATGAAGAGCAAGGTCATCTAACTGAGTTCATATGTGACAGGCGTTCTGCATACTACTGGGATCAGCACTGTCGAAGTCATCGTGAGTAGTGATAAGTGAATAAAGATGCTGAATTTTAAGCTCGGTAATAAAATGTGAAAGAATTAACACCATCTATTCACTTATCAATGAGAATGGTATTATTGACAAGTGCTTTGCAGACAAAACTCTCAGTGAAATCTGTGTCTCAGAGCTGAGGAGCAAATGTACAATTTAACTCGAAAGAAGACAGGAAGGTGTGGCGAAGATTATTTGCAATATTCTCCTTCAAAACAAATGTATCTTACCTGATCACCAAGCGTGATAAACTGCCATCCTTCATCTTCAGAATACTGTCCGCTCTTTGGATCATCAGCTGTAAGAACAAACACCACACGTTACGCATGCACAAACAATCACTTAAGAAATTACTAAACGGAAGCACAAGAAAAATGATTAGAAACAACTTTTGAGTTTTGACAAGAGCATCAAGTTATGAAGGCCAAACATGGAAATCACTGCTTTGTTACAGTTGAGTTGAGTAACAACTTTCAAGCTGTCCGCAAGCGCTTGAGAAATTATCCGACTGCTAAACAAAATATCGAGAAAACACTCAAACCAAGGTTTAGCAAAAACACCATTTGTGCAACCTCGTTCCCACAGCCAGGGTCTCTTATCTTCAAGATGAGCGACCCTGGGATCGAGGTTACCTTTTGTGTTCTTCATCTCTATAGAGGAAATTTCAAAATTGATTGAAAAATACTTTTGACACAAACCATCAATGACTGCTACTTCAGGCTTGATGGATGCAGCTTTCATCACTGAGGGCATCACGAGGGGAAGGTACTGAGTGAACTCTGTGCCAAAAATCTTGCACATTCTGGCCCAGGCTGAGATCATGTAGGAAATCTGATAATAGGTTAAAATCACATTTGAGTCGTAATGATGTTTCTATGTATAAATAAAAGCCAATGTAATTGTAAACACTTTCTCTCTTTTTTCCTTACAAGGTAACGAACAGTGATAAAAATAACAGACCTGAGGATCATCAGCCTCCAGCTCTTCCATCTCAGTCTGAGTCTTCAGTAATAACTGCATCACTTCACTAGCATCAGGCAAAAACTGGCAAGCAGTACAAAGAAAAGGTTTCAATGGCCGTCAACAGCATGTACAGCTTAATAAGAAAGAAGTGTATTTTGGAAATACATGTACTAGATTGCAAAACAATCGAACCTCTGATCAGGCGTTCTTTTTTTACGGCAAACGGGGAAAGCTTTTAAGTGGAGAAAGAACGCCCAATACACTTACTTCACGAGTAGTCTGTCGTAGTCCTGAATCTGGACTTTTCTCTGATTGGTTGTAAAGCAAAAGCAATCTAAACTACGATCAGACGTTCTCTATTTTCGGCAAGAGAGGAAAGCGCCAATTTCCCAAGCGAAATGCGACGCCCCTAAAAGGGTCTGGAACGAGCTAGAAAACTGGGGAGAGACCCTGAACACAGGAGCTTCATGCATCTTGCAAGGATATCTAGAGAGAAAATAGCGACTAAAGTACAAAGTACTTTGCAGAACGACACTTACTTTCTCTTTTCCTACAGCCAAACCAATTAAACTGATGCACTCAATGGTTTTTCCCCGCAGCATGCGGTAATCAGATGATAGAGCGTTCTGCATGATGTACTTCAGGTTTGGCATGAACCGATCATAATAATGAAGAAATTTCTCTTCTGCCGTATCTGCCACTGTAGCAATGGTGGTGACCACCTGCTCCAGAACGAGTTTACCGCCACGCTCAAGCTATCAAACACAAACAGAACACAGAATCAACACATACAATAACACAATAACAAATTCAGGGGTGTTATTAAGTTTTCAGTCACCTGTACTGTAGCTCTGATGTTCTCACCTGTAACAAAGTTGTTACATCCTGGGTGAATTCTATCAACAAAAGGAAATTTCACCTGTAGGATCATGCTCAGCCATAACAGGTCTTCCAGGTCATGGCCCTTAGACCAATTATTTTTCAGAATCATAAAATTATACTCAGCAAAGAAATGACAGGAACCTGTTATGACATGAAAATGACCAACAAAGGTGACAATGGTTATGGATTACAGTCAATCTTGAAGTCATGTAGCTCTATAAGCTTAGAAAGCTTGCCAGGTTCATTCTTAAAGTTAGCACACTATGAAGTAACTATCAATGCAATCTATTACTACTCCCACTCGATCATCTGATGCTAGCGCAAGCCTATTGCAGAGTTCACCCTAAGTATTCTGTCAGGCTTCCCCAGCAATGCTCCTGTAATAATTTATACACCTGAGGGAAGAGGCACTGTGAGAGTAAAGTGTCTTGTCCAAGAACAATTGAAAATATCCCCAGCACGAATATGAGCCTGAAAACCAGCTGACCCAGGGTTCACATGCTTCTCATTAGCCTGCTGCACCTCTGACAATGCGTTCAATGTACCTTGCACTTCTTATTGATTTTCGTAATAACTGTACCCACCTCTCTCAGCTTGGAAGCCAGCACAGCTTCAAGTTTGGCCAGGATATTATCCAGATAAGTTGCTAGAATAGTTTTTGGGCAGTCGTCAGAGAAATTCACAAGAGCGGCAGCAGCATGTGCCTGGACACGAGGATTGGCTGTGTCATCCAAAACAACAAGAAGCCCAGGGATTACCTGTGAAGGTTAAATGATATAATTTACAGTCATCATGCCAGTGTCCATGTATACATAGAAATACGATAAAAAATATAACATACGGCCAGGGGTGTCATTGAAGGGCCTGGCACCGAGCAAATTGACCACCTGTGAGAATTCTTTTGTCTGCTTGGTTTGACCATCTTCTTATAAAGAAGTTCAGATCAAATAGCCTTGCTCGCTTGTGAAAATCAATTGCCCTCCTGCTAAAAACGTTACTAAAACCCCTGCACACAGCACAAAGGCCTCTTATCATTAAAAAGCAAGTGGCAGGAGTAACTTGGAAAGAGCGCAACCAGCTAATAAGGGTAGTGTAAGTGTACCAATTTAAAACTGGTCGGGACATGACAAGAGCTCTCCTGATCTTGTACAAGTGTACAATGTGGATGCAGAGTACAATATAACAATTGAGATTCAGTGGCAAGCCCAAGAGATGAACATTTACTTGCACGCATCCCTTACAACTTGCAATCTATTTGCACTTTTCTGCTTGTCTCCCTGGCCTGTCTCCTCTGGAAGGAAAACTTATTTACTAGCTCATGGCTATTAAGAAAACCTTTAAGCAAACTCTGTCAGCATGATCAATACAGTTTTTTCAAAATCACTGAGTATCCTTCAGTCTTAACACTTACTCTGTTATGAAACTTTTTTTGGAATCCTGGAGCAAAATCAGTTGACAACTGTCCCACTGCATTGCAGGCAGCATACCGTACTCGGGGGTGGGTGTCCGTCAGGAAAGGCAAAACGGTGTTAACTATGTCGGGGAGTAATGCTTCCATCTGCTTATAGCAACCTTCACCAACTGCAGAGATAGCCATCAGCCCAGCATGACGATATCTCCAGTCAGCTGGGAAAAAAAAAACAAAAACAAATTACTTACAACTCTTTATACAAAAATTACTAGTCACAAATTGTGGTCCTTACAACCGGATTAAATTAAATTTTTGAAGCATTGGTGTTGCAGGAGGCAAAGAAACCAGATACAGGGCGTGAACCAACAACAGACCAAATCCTCCTAGCACTCCTGACTGAATCAAACCCATGTCACAATGGTGGAAGGCAAGCACGTTTTGTAAGTGTACTCAACGGAACCTGCCCTGCTTGTCTTTAATTTGTCTTTGAGATTAGCAATAAATAACATGTACAAGCATGTATCATGTCCATTAGATTACCAATTCCCTAATATTATCAATGATAAACTTTGTACACAAATGTAAATTTAGTCGAGAACTTACCATTCTGTAACATCTGTGGTACTGTAACAATAATATGAGGCAAGACTGTTTTTCCACCCAGACCACAAGCCAGCCTATCAAGGGAGCTTTCCCCTGCTACAGAGTTACTGTGAACAAACATTATTACCGTCAGTAAACTACATCATAAAAGCCTTGGGTCCGGTAGGAGCAAGAGAACCTTAGTACAAGTACATAAAATTCTGCACCTTGAAGGGTTGGGTTTAATTGGCCATTCTAACCCCAACAATTTCAAAGTGTAAGTCAGTGTGCATCATCTTGAATAAAGAAGTTCTTCAGACATAACGAATGAAACATGACGACCTTCATGAAGTCATCACACTTCTTTGAACATACTGTAGCACAACAACATGATATACAACTGTACAAAGAATTTGCCATAGTCTGAGCATTGTGTTTGAGACTGTTTTGATTAGTACTGTACTGTAAATCAAGTGCTAAACGTTGAGATCACATGTCCATACAGTCATAAAAAGGCCAGTAAAAGCAGATATGTGGCATTGCGCAAAATAAAGGCTTCAAAATATATGCCAAAACTACGAATCTCAGCATTCTGACTGCAGATGCCCCCCGCCTTGACACATCCTAAAAGCATAGCATTTTCTCATTCTTCCTCCTAAAAGGACAAGTTTCACTTGAAGAGTACTTTAACATTTAAGGATGAAAAAACAAACAGTGACTACCTCTCAGAGTCTTCATCATCAAGTTCATCAGAGATACTCCACTCTGGATCATCTTCCAAGTCAACCATCATTGCCAGCATCTCAGGAACTGTGATTTGTGACAAACAATTAAAATGTCATGAGCACTGTAAAGCTGCAGAAAATCTTTTAAAAAATGCCACTGTAACTGTACAGAAACAACTAATTGCTTTGTTCCAAAAATACCCCTCCCACTGAGGGTTTTTCGGTTCATACATGTACTTTCCTTTCAAGATTTTGGTTTTTGAGATCTCCTTCACCCTTGGAATTACCAATAACCCTCCTTGAGGTGGCTATGGATGTTTTCTGGAACCACACAATTTTATTTTCCTGTTTATCACAGAAATTTAAAATGATTAATAAACATAAGAATCTCAGAAAAATGGCCAGCTTACCTATTACCGGGATGTATTTCTGACATTTCCTCAGCATGGCTGGTGCTACAATGAATATAAAAAAATTAATGGTTTAAACTTAAACAAAATTGAACCTGGATAAATTAAGGGGGTACAGTTAAAGAAATGTCCACTCTGTACTTACTACATGCAAGTCAAATTTCACGATAATTTTTGGCTTTGATCTCGATGGTGTACACAACTCACTAACCTGTCTCAGCTAGTGTCACCACACACTCTAAAGATAAATGTCTCCAGCTTTCAACAAGACTTGTGTTACGAACAATCTGCAAAGGTGAATTTGCTCATAAACAGACATGTTCAGCTGTCGATGTACACTCTTATGCATTTAGTTGCACAAGTATGAATGAAAAACAGGAAAGACTTGTAAAAACAAAAGTAATCTTTCTGTTGTTTTTAACTATGATTGAATCAGGCAGGCACTTCATTGCAATCGTGCCTTCATCGGCTGCTTTCAAGAGCCAGTGAAAGTCATTTAATTACACATGCTTAGCTGATACAATTTGTGCGAGTTTGTACATGTAACCTTAATCTCACTGCAGGCCTACGCCAATTAAAGAGGTTAATTTCAATAATGAACATGTTTTATTCCTAGTCTGAATACTTTTGTTGAGAATGACAAAGAACAGACTTGAGTTGTCAGACCAGAATATGATGACAGGGTTTGACCTCCAGGCTTCCAGATCCAAAACCCAGTGTTCGACAGCTGGACTATCACCAGCCTTGCACAATTACAAAATAGATTCACCAGGTGTTGTGAAAAACATACCTCCAACATCAAGTCTAAAATTTGTTCCAAATTTGTCCTGAGAAGCTTGGGACAAGTGTCGGCTAAGTCTATCAGACATTTTAACACGGAGTCATCAGCATTTGCTTGAACACTTTCCCGAACAGCCTGATGTAAAAGAGAAAAAAAGAGACAATTAACCTAGATTGCTAATACATGGTTCCAAAAAGTACCGGTAAGGAAACAGACTAACACTCATTTCCCATGTTTTTTAAAATTATGTGGCTTAATGTAATTTAGGCTTTTTAAGACTATATTGCTGGCCAGCAGTCTCCCACAGGGTTGATGTGCAGGGGTTGGCCCAAGTGTTGGTGCAGGGGCTCCTTGTAGTTTACAGCTCTGTTTTGGATTTCACTCCATTCTGCATGTTTTTCACTGCTCATAGACTTTTCTCCCAGCCCACCACTCTCCTTCTCAATTGCTTGTTCAGTGTGACAGTGCCAAGTGGTTGCCACTCACAGGGTTGTCATAGATACCCTACATGCTCAGCTAAGATTGCTTGTGGGTCCACCATCCTTTCAGGCACCATATTCCTCAAGCTCATCTCATGTTGGTGAGTTTAATGAACAGTGAGCAAGAAATTAACAGCACCTTACTGCTGTGCTATGTGCTTCATGTACCTTGGTAACATCCTTAACTCACCCCTACCAATAAAGGATCTTTAACATTATTCTACCATTCTTACCTGTACTATACCTGGGACTAAATCAGCAAATTGCCTTTGTTTGACTTCTTCAACTTGATCTGTAATAAAGGCAACGGATGCACGTGCTGACATAAAACGAACCTGTAACAAAGGAAACAACAGCACCATAAATTTCAAATAATGCAGGTTAACCTAGCAGCCTGATCATTGCAACATACAAAATAGTCTTTACAGCAGGTCCGTAAACTTGTAAATAATAAACCTCTACAGAACATTCTTGCCCAGTTATGCATGTTGGTTGAAGGCTGACCACAAAAACGATACAGCTTACAATGTAATCTGTTTAAGGCAATTTACAGAACACTTAAGGATTTGTTGGGA